ATAGCATCTCTATTAAAACGACACAATTCTAACTCCTTTTAAGCAGGACCTTTGAATTATAGAGTCCATTACAAGCACAGAGTCAGTAAACTTGCATTTCTTCCTGTTTTAATCAATGAGACTGCCTTTTGAAAAACAGACAATACTCTACTGAAGGCAAAGGCACACAATACAAAAATTAACACCACCGAGATAAAACACAGCAAGTTACAATTCAATTAAAATCCTACACGATACGTTACCTTCCGCCTCGGGCACTGAAAGGCACTACATGGATTCCCAAAGGCCCGCCGTCATTGGAGACTTCTACGAGCTTTACCATATCACTGTGAGACAATGACGAATGAGGGAATATGAACATGTACCGTGAAGGAACCGAAAAACCCCACACAAACATACACAGAAAAACAAAACCATCGCGAAAATCAAGTCATGGCGATGAAAGCATTATTGTTGAATGCTACATACCTGAAGAGTAATCTGATGGCATGAAAGGAGATCAATCAGCAAAAATACTTCAATTAATAGAACCAACACAAGCCAAAGAATTTTTTTGTAAACTTAGTTTGCTACATTAAAATAGGTCTCATCATCATCATTGCATGCATATTTCTTTATTTCTTTCTTATTCTAGAGTTAAATTTAAATTTAACTGTTTGGACCATTAAGCAGAAATACCCCAAATGACACATACAATTTTTCCTCAGAAGCCTCAAAGCTGATCATAGCACTAGCACGCTTTACTTTTTTAATCTTAGAGCCAATGCTAAATCTTATCATTAGCTTTCACATAACTAACAAATAATCAAATAAGAATTATTAAATATCTAATTGGCTAAATTATTCCAGTTTTACAACACATTAATTTGTTTTATTGTAATTCCTTTTCTTTATTAGAAGATTGCTGGTTTTCCTTACTAGGCAAAGCTTCCAAAGTAAGATTTAAGTATAACATTCAAAACCAACCAGACGTCCCCTGAAGCAACCATGCATCTAGTTTTCAATTATACTTTTTTGCTGTAGTGAGGGGAAAAAGCAGAAGAGAAAAATACAGGTTCAGGAAGAAATTGTAGAAATAGATTGAGACCAAATCTATTAATGTGTTTGAAACATGCCCACATCTGGAAAGGTGGAATACAGCTCGTGAACCGCAAAGAGCTATAAATACAAAAATGAGAAAATAATACACAAAAGCTAAACCTCTCAGTAAAACTGGAAGTGAAAGATCTGAACGGAAGCCACAATCTAAATTTGTGGTTTATGCCTCTCTCTAGTGTTACATACTTTTTCCATATTTCCTGGTTATATATATATATATATATACATATATATACACACACAGCTTGTTCCTCATAAGCGTACAAATCAAATTTAATCTCAAAATGGAGCAAAGAGCAAGACCAATGCCCTGTGATGGCAGTAAAAGATTTTCTACTTCCTTCAATAAGCTGATGGGGGTCCATCAGGAAAGCTTACAGCTCTTAATCTGGAGTTTGAGAATAACCAGACCACATATGGTTGGGAAGTCAACACAAATCCTGTGTTACAGTTTGGTTTACATTTCTTCCACATTAATTTTTTAAATATGGTTTTAAGGTAGCAACATACAACATTTGTTGTATGCCTCAGTCACTGTTTGAATTTTTACCTTGCTTTTTTATAGCGTAAATGGAAGGTCTGTAGCTCAAGAAAGTAATGCAACAACAAGAAAGATGAGAGACCTCAGTCCAAAACCTGTTAGTCTGCAGACACGGACCAGTGTTTGAAGACTGACATTTTAATACAGCATTTGGTAACGTTCCCTGTCACAGGTTCTGCATAGACTAACTTCATTTCCTTCTCACTGTACATTAAGGCTAAGTTTTCATTAACAGGTGCAAAGCAGCTCATAGGAATAAAGCAACACCTTCAACCTCCAGAGGGAACTCTAAAAGACATCTTTTGCTATTGGTAGGCCTGTGGTTCCCTCTGATCAGCTTTTTCCTGATTGTGCCATTAGCTTAGTCAGAAAAGTAAGGGCTGAGGAAGAGATCAAGTGAAAATCTGTGTTGTTCCTGGAATTGCCTAAGTGGAAACACAGCTTAAATTAAAAAAAAAAATAAACAACAAAAAAAACACCAACCAAAAACCTCAGTTTTCACAACCATTCAACATGATTTAACTTGTTCTACTGCTTGAGTCAGTCATTTTCCATTTTTCAAAAATGCCCATTTAAGGTCTTTCCACTCATTTTTCTTATACTTTTTCTTTCAAAAAAATACATCCCAAATTCAAATGTTACATTCTGTAAAACAGAAAACAAAAGGAAATAATCAGTTCCCAAGAGAGATAGTTTCAATTTGGCTTCCTGACTTTCTCAGAAGTTCGGGCCAACTGCTTCAAACAAACATGCAAAGAAGTATGAGATCAAAACAGGAAATAAAAGAAGTAGCATATGATGAGAAGTCAATAAGTACTTAAAAGCAGCACTAAGAAGCATTAAGTTTGACAGAAGTTCTGCAAATTCTATTTAGGAAACAGCATTTGGAATTTATGATGTAATAGATTAACAGATTTTGTAAATGGAACTGAGCAAAACTCACTATCTACTGCCTAATAGATGTCACCATGATATTTATCTAATATTTAAACCCTTTGCACCTAATTCATAATTTATTTCAAAAATATTAGGAAGGGAAGATTAATTTTTATTTAAAATTTAAGTTAACCAAATAAAATTATTTAACTTAAGAGTCGAACGGATATTTGCTCATTAATTCCATAGCGAGGTATGGATCCGTTCTTTGCAACGAAATGCAAAAGGTCAAGCTAGCTTGTTGCATCTTTCGATAAAATAAAATATAATTTAGTGTGATTGAGTTTTTAAATTTGGAGCAGCTAACAAAACATCCATTTTGATCCATTCATAAAGTATAAGGCTTCTGACATACGTGTGACCCCCACAAGCATCTTCCCAGTAGACTGTGAACTAGTGAGAGGAATGAAGATTTTCCCCTTTGAAATTCTTCCCTGTTGATCTATTTGTACCATCACTGACCCTATTCCTTCTGTCAAGTTTTCAAAGTTCCATCAAATAAGCATCTTCTTTGAGGCAGAAAATCTACTGTAGCATCAGCACTTATAAATGTCAAGTTTCCAATGCTCATTTTTAACACAGGCTTTTTAAACTGTTTAAAATCTGTTTTAAAAAGGTCCATGAACCCAATTGTTTAAAACCAAAATGACACACATGACCTAAAAAAGATTGCCCCACTTTCTTAAGAGCAGTATCACTCACACTGTTTTGAGTACTTTGTTAGCGTATGTTCAATCTTCATACTCATTGTTAAAACAATATGTTCTGCCAGTAACTTACTCCAGGGAAAAATTTGTTGCATTTTCCAAGCCAGTGTCCGCATGTCCAACAGGCTCAACTCTGCTGTTGTCCTCCTCTGTTCGATCTTCATCCTAGATATTGGAGAAAAAAAAAAAAATCATTAAACCTAGATTTAATAGCTTAACTCATTTTAGTAAAGACATTTTATAATTTTCAGATTATTGGGGTTACCATATGTGCAGTGGAAATGTTGTGCTTCCACAACTACAAAAATCTTTCCTTATTGTCTGAAACTGTTGCAAATTTTGTCACTTCATGCATTTTTGTAATGATATTTGTAATTTAGTCAGTTTTATGTCATAATTTTACTACAGTTATAAAAGCAATGCTACAGAAGCTATCACAGTCAGCGTTTTTTTAAAAGGTAGCATAAAATCAGCTGATGGTCAGCAGTGTTTGGGGAAACTCTTCCCAGGCTCTTCCTGGGCAGGTTACTGGGGACTTGACTGAACACACAAGGCAGTTCACTGAGCCTCTTTTACAAAGCCTTAAAAATTATATAAGAAAAAGCAGCTTCTGTAATTCCATAAAATACCAAGACCTCTTTAAACATTTTTTCACAGCCTTTATTAATAGCATGCCAGAAAAGACTGACATCAAAGAGGTTCTAATGCTAACCAATTGATTTTATTTTTAATTTCACTTTCCAAAAAGTACATACATTATTCACCAAACGTACAACTTTAATGTCAGAGTTGTGAATGATGTACTTTCAAATTTAGATCAGGGTAATTCAAGGACTTCCAGTTAGAAGATCTAAACCCACTCTTATACCTATGTTAATTATCAGAAGTTTATACTTTTAAATACTCATGTAATCAAACAGAAAATATTATGAAGTGTGAACAGTAGGTTTCAAACACAGATTCTAGAACCAGAGCCATCAGGTCAGTAAAATAACATGTGATAGGCTACGAGTTTAGCACACAGAGTCAGACAATTTATTAAATTATTGAAGAGATATTAAAGGCAGGCAGAGACAGTGGGTAATGTCCAATTGACATTTTCAGAGAGAATGTGAAAAGTAGGACGCTGGATGCATGAAGCTTCCATGGAGTGTAGATAAGCCTTGTGCACCCTGGATAGCAGCACACTGTGAAAAGCCAAGCTACTTGAAGATTGGGGATCCTGTGTTTTGAGAGGCTTTAATGCACGTCCTTGTCACCTCTCTCTGTTAAGTACTAGGTAAGTATACATTTCAAAGGTTAACCAGCATCTTGAACCTGCCTAGAACTGCATTACGAATATAAGCAAGAACCCAAATCAAAGGTTTTCCAGATAGTAAAAGTTGCTTACAAAAACAATACAAAAAATAATCCATATAATTCATAGATACACCATAAGCTAGTGTTTACCTTTCTATATTTACTGATTTCAGCTAGAGTTGTATATGTGCTTTATGTGTATATATTCTATATGTTCTACATGTACTAAAGTTTAAAAATAAATATATATTCAAATCTCCATGACAATTCTCATTTTTGCACGTGACAAAGTCACATGCAAAGTTTATAAAGGAAAATCAGAACATTTTGAGGTGTTTCATATAGAAAAGCATTCAACCTTGTTTCATACAGCATCTTGCAGATCATTATTGCCATGGGTTTCTTGTTTTGAAGTTAAGGACACTGCTGATTGTAGAAAACTACAGAACTGTATTTATTGCACTGAAGCTATTATTTGCAAGTCTAAAGAGAACTCTTTTCATCAGAGTTGCTGATGAAACCCAATCCTGAAATTTACTTATGACAAAAGGTCATCACAGATGAACGTGACTTTGTTAATACAATGTTGCTGGCCATTTTCCATGTGTGGTCTTTTTAAGCAAACATACCAGAAGTTTATGTACATGTAGGAAGAGACTGAAATAACACCCTATCTATTAGTAGATATGCTTCTGCTTAAATGACTGGCTTCACGCTGTGTCATTTTAGCAGACATCTATATATGTGCAATGTAACCATCATTCATTTAGTATCAGTTGGGTCCTACACTTTACCACCTTTCAGCTCCACAAGCTTTTCCCTTGACTCGTTTAAAGTCGCTCTGTAAACAAAATTCCCCTTGCCCCACTCAGTTTTTGCAGCAGTCCTTTGGACATGAGGGACCCACTTTCAATGCCCTGCTGGAACACAGCCTGCCGTGCAAGACTTGAGCTAAATCCTTTTAGAAACACTTCTTTCCACCACTTCCCAGCCCTGGCGGTATCTTTGCTCTTGCTCCCATCACCTCTTAATGTCTGCCCAGACTTAAGCCTCTACACTTCTACATTGTTTCCTTTCGTTCTGTCCCAACTGGTGGTCCAGAGGTTTATTCCACCATGGGAAGGAGGATCCCTCTGTCTGACCTTGACTGTATCCAGGTCAAACAAAACAGCCAACTTACCCGTCTCCTGCCTTTATCTACCTTTCAATACAAGGATAAAACAAATTTGAAACTGCAACCCAAAAGCTATGTAAAACAGATGCTATCTGGCACCATCACATCTACATTTTGTGCCTTTTGTATCGAGAATTATAAACACAGCAAGTTTTGGAACCGCACAGCCTGTCAGTTATCCAAGCAATTAAGAAACAGCAGCTCCCACACGCCTCTGTCTGGCTTTTCCTGGACAGCAGACAGATCTGTATCAAAAACATGCATGTACCCATAAATAGGTGCTTAGAGGAGGAATCACAATTCTAATGAAAGCATTAATGCCATAATCAACAGATGTATGATGTACCCTTTTAAAAATCTTTAATATTACAGTAATCAGACTCTCTTTTCTTCTCAAAATAGCACAGATTTTGATTTACACTGAAGTGAATGGAGAGAAAAATTGGACACCTGCAGAGGGATTTGACTTTAAATTCTGATTTACTAAGAAAAGTAACTAACTAGCTGGGAAAATCTTTGCATCAGGCAATTATTTCTTTATTTGGAAAGTAGTTTTCTTCTGAAAGGCAAATTCCACCTGGATAAGGTAAATGAGGAAAAGGATATTTAGAAGAGCAAGAAAGCTTGGGTGAATCCAGGTGGATATCATTGCAGGTATTTCTCAGAAATAACTGATTTGAGCAAAGTCCCAAAATTACAAGGCTTCTTTCTCTCTCTACAAAAACACTGATTCTGACTATATCAAAAAGTACAGTACAGCTACTAAAGACAGAACAATTTTTTTTTTCAAAATTGAAGAGGAATTAAAAAATCATTTCATGTTTACAGCACAGAATAAAATTTAAAGGAACTCTTCCAATGTACTTCTACATATATTGATGTGTGCAGGGTAAAAATTCTCCACTGTTCTAAAAATAAAAAATTAATTATTATTTTAAGTTCTGTAATAAAATTAATGACTCAAAAACTGAAAATTACTGCTCAAAATGGACTATTATGGCTAGCAGTTCTACTTATAAAAAGGTCCATTTCACAGTTCACCTGCACAATGTTAATGAAATACATACAATAAGTTGCCAGTTGTTTCTGTATTTTTGAAGAAAATCTCTCTATCACCTCTCAAGATTACAAAATCCTCAAAGTTAAGAAATTATAGTAGTACTCCTGCCAACAGAACCTTATTCAATATAAATGATCCCAAATAGTTACTTTAATTACATCTTCTCAGGTAATGCTGAAGTCAGATCTGCCTTGTGTCATTTCCAAAGCTCAAAACCTATGCTTTTCTGGTCTTATTGGATATTTTAACTTTCATTACCAAAATACAGCTCCTTTCTCAGATTAATCCACAGTTAATACCAGTCACCACTTCATTTTCAAAGAAGCACTTTCGCACTCCCCTCTGTTGTTCAATACCCTTCTAATGAACTCCCCAAAACCAGAACTTCTTCACATTCCCTTGTCTTTTGACCACTGCACAAAACTCAATAGCAGCTAGGGAGTCTGAATATTTAGATTCTTACATATTTCATTTGTGCAGTCTTTGTTTCTAGGTGCCTGATCTGAGAAAGTGCATCTTACAGTCTTCTTCAGCCAGACACAATGGGAAATGGGCTCTGAAGGCCTGTAAGGGTTATGTATAAATTGACCTTCTCTGAACACTTAATCCCATCTCTCAAATTCTGCAGCAACATCTCTGTTAAACCAATAACTGAAAAACAAAAGGAAGTAAGGATGTTTGCCATGGGTGGGGTATTTTCCAGTTCATAGTGGCATAATGTTTATTTCATTATTGTTAGAAAGTGATAGTGTATTTTAGTGACAGTGCTTCTATGAAAGAGAGTAACTACTTTCAAATTACTTCAACACTCCATGGCAAGATCTGTTCTACTGACCAACAATACACTGATAGTGTAAACAGCAACTATCATGTGCAATGAGTAGAATTACAGAATTATTTAGGTGGGAAAAGTCCTCTAAGATCATCAAGTCCAACCATTAATCCAGCACTGTCAGTCTGCAGTATATGTGCTCCAAGATGAAAGAACTGACTTTGGAAGCAGATTTAGATACACTGAAATGTATCTGCACAAGGGCAGGATGGGGAGCTCTGTCTGGGCCTCCTTTACAGTTTTTTGTGCTTTTTCCCAACTCCTTCAGAAGCTGGTGAGATGAGCCATAATAATTAGGGAAAGTGATGATATGCCATTATTGTTCCAGTGATCATCTTTACAAAATAACTTTTGTAAGTAGTTTTTCTCAGGAACTGTTGCTTTCATGACACTCATCCAAAGGAAATACAATGTCAGTACTGTTTGTAGATTTTAATGTGATGAAAGGACTTACTAAAGCTGTTTACCTGCTGATCTGGCAGTATTCAAGAAACCACTTTTCTGAAAGTCTTGCAACGCCCAGACTTGAATGAGAGGAAAAGAGGGCATTTTTTTCTTGGCATTTTGCAATTAAACCCTAGTTCCTCCATCAAGAAAGTGCCAGATTTAAACTTGAGATATTATTATGTTGATCTAATACTGATAAGCTGTGATAATGTTATTCCCATATCTTGCATGAACCCCATGTATGAGAATGGTATTCAGTCAGCTTAGTTCCTGAGTAATGACTGTGTGGACTGAGGCCTGGAGAGCAGCTCTGTGCAAGTGAGAATCACAGTGACATTCACTTTCCCATGGGG